TGTATGTCAATGTGTGTGTATGAATATGTGCATGCACACACATACACACACACACACACACACACACACACACACACACACACACACAAACACACACGCACACACAGACACAAACACAGACACATACAAAGACAGAGAAAGACATGAAAAAGAAAAAAAATAACAGTCAAGATAACGTTACTGTTACCTCTAACGTCTTCTCCAAATATTTGTTCGGTCTCAGAGCGATCATTCTTGCTGAAAGTTCGTGCAGTGGCACCAATTCCACTTTCAGCGGCACCCCTCGACCTCCGTTGAGCTTTTCTGCCTGAAAATAATAATTAATTATAAACGACATTTATATAGCACTCAACCCCGATTAAAGTACAAAGGCTCTGAGCGCTTTACAACACAGTACAACGTAAAACAGTAACAAATCAGTCACTTAGTAAAGGCACTGTCGTAAGTGAGTAACTACAAGTCAATAACAGCAAAGAAGTAAAGAGATGAAGTTACCATGTGCTAATGGTTAAAAAGGGGCGCTGGGGAGAATGGTTTGGGGTGAGAGGAAACTATACGGAAAGACAGAGACAGACAGATGTAGAGCGAGGGAGAAGAAAAGAGCAAGCGTTTGTGTGTGTGTGTGTGTGTGTGTGTGTGTGTGTGTGTGTGTGTGTGTGTGTGTGTGTGTGTGTGTGCCCATGCGCGAGTATGAAAAAGATGGGGGGAGGATGAAATCTCACTTTCAAATTTTACCCAAACTTCCAACATTTACACGGACCTGTGCTGGAAAGTCCTCCAGCAGCTTGAGGAAGCTGTCAATGTCTTGAGGGACGTAAGGGGCAGTGACGGTGCTGTAGTACTTGATCCTGATGCCCAGGTCGTTGCCCATCTTCTCCTCCGCGGCGTAGACCATCCGCTTGAGCTTGTCCTCAAAGGAGTGGTACTCCTGACGAACTTTGACCTCGCCGGGACGATGATCGACTTGGCCATCGAAGGTGGAGAAGCTGGTGTGGGGAAGGGGGAGGGGAGGAGGTTTGGTTGGTTTGTGATTGTGGTTGTAATGGTGGTGGTGGTGGTGATGGTGGTGATGGTAATGATGGTGGTGGTGGTGGTGGTGGTGATGATGATGATGATGATGATGATGATGATGATGATGATGATAATAATGATGATGGTGATGATGATGATGATGATCATGAGGATGAGGATGAGGATGAAAATAATCATAGACTGCATTCTGCATTAACACAGTACATAACCCTGCTCGAAAGTTGGATCTGTGATCTTTAAAACTCGTCGTAATTCCAGCAGAATCTATAACAATGTGAAACAGCTCATCTACGAGTACCTGAAAAGCATTCAGAGCAACCTGGCATTTCACTGGCACTTGGACACTAACTTACGAACAAGATATCGATTATTTCTCTGTCTTAGCCTATTAGCCATCCCCACCAGGGTGAAGAAATACATGCAGATGTGTGTAACGTGTCTTTTCCAAGGACTCAACGATGGAACCATGTGTCTGACTTTGCTTTTAAAATGTAATTGTTTCCTTTGCTTTAATTCATAGTATCAAACTCAATCGAACAGGGGAGACAAACTCAAATTACACTTACAATTAATTACATGTAGATCAGTATGAATTAAAATCGACAAAAGTTGAAGTCATTTTGAAATCAAGGCATATCCATGTTCGTTCCTATTCTGATTTTTTAGGGCAGGATCTTGGGCATCATTTCATGGCAACAAGATTATTTATCTTTCTTGCACGGTTCTGTGCTATGCAGATTCTCTGGAAGGACTGCCTAAAATCATTTTGCGGCCGGATATGATATTGTTTATTGTATCCTGAGCAATACTATCTTCACATTCTCTCCCCTTTCTTTAGACTTTGATTTACTTGTTTCTTATAGTTTGGTTATCTCCCTTTGAAGATCAGTCAGAACACCACCACACTCCATTTTCAACCTAAACCTTTGAAGGCCCATTGCAATCCGATGTATTACATGTATTACGCTCCTCCCTTTTTATCAAAGTTCGATCTTTTAGGAGGCGGGCTGGTTCTACCCGGGGGATCGTGGGCCAACATAGGCTGAGTAGGGCACATTCTCCCAGTAAACTGATGGAGATTCTTGATAGAATAAGCCTTCTCCCTCCCATTTGTCCTAGGACAAAAAGCATGAGCATAACATAGTAGACGAAAAACATTTTTTAAGTTCTGACTTTTCATTTAACGGAGCAAAAATCCACCCTCCCCCCCAAAAAAACACCAACAGCAACTACGACAACAGCTACAACAGTAACAGCAGCAACAGCAGCAAAAAAAAAAAAAATTAAAAAAAAAAAAAATGAAGCAAACAAAAACTGGAACCTTTCCAAGGAACAAGCAATGATCCCATAGGAATTTTGACCAAACACTGGGTGTCTTATGAAAGAGGACCCATTTAAAGAGCAACAGCTTGATTTTCTCAGGACCGATTTCACCAAAACTTTGAACTAATACAATTCAGTCAGGAGGCCAGCACATTTGTCAATGAGAGGAAAATCAACTGAGTATTCGAAAAATATGTTTTTAAAATCCAATCAAAATTGAGTGAAACATTAAACTTTGCAACCATAATGTGTGCATTGAAGAACATAGTTATATTATAATATACAACTTGACATCACCAAAGAAACTTAGGGAAGATAGTGATTAAGCTGTGTACTCCAAGTGTTGACCATTCTTAAATAACACTGAGGTATGTTTCTATGTCGATTCTTTAGACCTCCTGTTCAACATTTGAGTTTCAACTGATCTATTGTTTGCGAGTTGTTTCTGTAGACTTTGTCTACTAAAAGAGGTAATGTGATGACCATCCATGAGTAAGCTTTTGACTTATATATAAAGTGCTCCCCAAACCTCCCTTGCATACATGAAAAAGCCACTGTTGACGTTTAGAGGAATGGCCTCATCCTACTGGAACCAGGCCTCCTCAACAGCATAACACTTTCTTCACCCCGATTGTCCCCTAAACTTCCATAACACGGTGAAATGTATACATCTAAAGTGGAGCCGTGATTTTACCGTCTCCGTCCGATAACCGTGTCCGAGTAGCAATATGCTTTTAAGAAGTAAAGTTTTCCGTTTTACCCAATTTTGATTGAAATGTTTAAAAAATGCACTATTTCTTGAACGTCTTTATTGATTTTCTTCGTATAGCCACATTTTATGCCCCCTAGGAAGAAATGTATTTGTTCAAAGTTTTATTGAAACTGGTGGAAATATGACCCGAGTTATAGCCTCTGAAATGCCCCCCCCCCCTTTAAAAAAAAAGATATCCCTTACTTCAAACACTAACACTTCAGACTGTATTATTACTATGCCCATTTTTGCATGAACGAAAGTGGACAACCAACATTTTAACACCCTTTAAATTCGACACCAACTGAAGCATTTTTGGTTTCAGAAAAACCAATACGACCCAAGCACGGGAAGCACCCCAGAGTGTGTCACAGTTTTTTTTAGTACTCAGTTGACAGCCAGACGATAAAGTGCATCCGCCCAGATACTCCCCCCAACTCAACCCCTGCCCGGTCCCTATATATTTGTGCACGTATTCAAAGGAAAAAGTGGGGGGG